CCCCCCCCGACAGGTGTGAGGTACTAACACCCAGGGTACCTGTGAGGACAAGTCAGGGCAAAACACACTTCTGATAACATGAGGGCAAACTCCGGTCAGTTCTGTCAGGGTACAAATGAACTTTACCACCTACACATACAAACAAACATATTATGTACGTGCACACACACTCACATACACACACACATACACGCGCGCTATCTTGTACAACCCCCAAAACAATGAATGAATGAATGAATGAATGAATAAATGAATGCATGAATGAATGAATGAATGAATGAATGAATGAATGAATGAATGAATGAATGAATGAATGAATGAATGAATGAATGAATGAATGAATGAATGAATGGATGAATGAAGATCTTTTTGAAAATTATCTGTATAACAACCTTTATTGTACACTTTTGCCCCACTGGACTAAATACAGGTCACATGTTGGCAATCATATATATAAACGTGTATACTAGTATATAAACTTCCAGCATACTCTAGTACATTCAACTTCCTCTTGCTTCTTAGTAATTCTTAGTAAATATTATAGGAGGCTGTATGATTGGTTACAGTTGGTTATAATACTTCACTCTGGCTTCTCACTTATAAAAACACACATCCAAATGTGTCAGTGTGTCACACAGTTGACTGTATAATTTATTGATTTCCATTTACACATTACCCCCCCTCCCATTCATAGCCTCATTTACGGAATGGCGCAGTTATAACCTAATTACCATGGAAACCATCAGCTGACCCCGATGACTCAGAGTTGTTACGAGGATGTTGCACACCTTATATAGTTATATGTCAGTCTGAGTGGACAGTGCTCCTTGTGTGACTCACTAACTCATCATAGATAAACAGGCCAGATTGTAAATTCTATGACTCAATCTTTAATTACAGGGGGTTGGTTCAGAGAGGGGGGTGTTCAGAAGGGGTTTTCAGAGGAAGGGTGGTTTGAACTTAAGGGGGTCTAGTGCCTGGGTGTAAAAGTATGTCTGACAGTAGTCCCCTTGACTCACTAACTCATCATAGATAAACAGGCAAGATTGTAAATTCTATGACTCAATTCTTAATTACAGGGGGGTTGTGGGGGGTAAGAAGAAGGTTCAGGGGAGGTCTGAAGGGGGTTCCAGAGAGGGGGTGGTAAACTTAAGGGGGTCCAGTGGGTGGGTAGAAAAACTTGTACAAACCTATTAGTATTATAAATGTCTTATATACCTTAGGAGTATACAGTGAAAACAGGGGACTGAGAAAATCTAACAGGTGGTTGCTGGAAAGGGTTCTTTTAATTAAGTGCCAATGGGAAAAATTATCGAGCCGATAACACCAAAATATAACATCTTCTTTGTTGAGTAACTCAATAAGACACAAGCACAGCATTACTCTCCAAGCAGAGATAGCATTTTATGTGTTTTTATTGGGCTTTTTTTGGTGTCTGTATCTTTTTCTTCACCAGCCAAACTTTGGTGGTGTACTGGATACTGCACTGCCAATTGTGTGATTTGCTTTATGTTATGTTATATTTGTTTGTGACCCTGGGCCCTCTTGAAAATCAGCAATATTATGCTGTAGAGGCTACCCAGGTGTTTACAAGATGAAATAAATAAATAAATAAATAAATAAATTGTCTGACACTGTCTTGTAGCCACTGACAGATCTGCTTGAAGATTAGCGGAGCAAGAACTCAGCAGGCTTCTCCCAAACTCTCCCCAGTCCCTCCCTGACCAGGCTGTTATTTGTGGCAGTTCTGCAGCAGGGTGAAAGGAGAATTACACGCCGCTAGCCTCCTTCGCAGTCTTGTTGGGCGTGGGCGTAATTTTTTTTCTCTGAGCGACGCTAGTAATATGCCGCCGCGAGGGACGATTTGCTGCCGAGGGACTTTTGCCACGGAGAGAAGGTTTCCGCGCTCCAACAAGACTGCTTCCAATCGGCGAGTTAAAAGGACCTCGGATTAAGCCAGCCTTTCATAGAGGCTATTAACATGTTCGTGCAGGTCCAATTCACATGTTCGCGCAGGTCCAATTCACATGTCCGCGCAATGGTAATTCATAGATACGCATGACACGCGCTCGCCTTTGTCAACGGTTGGTTTATTAGCTTGCGTTACGTTATAGTCGAAGGTTCCAACAGAGAACATTGGTAATGTTACAACAAAGCCATTGGTGTGCATATTTAAGCGTCCCATGCAAACAAACCAAGACAATTTACAGTACTATTTTTGCTGGTGAAATGTGCAATTCTTTCTATTACGCAACTTGCTGCGGAGCGGTGTGTTACCCTCCCATGGTCAGTGAGATCAACCCGCCACCAAACAACATGGCGGCACAATGTCTACGGGATTTTGTTGAGTGGATAGGGCTCGGTTTTCGGGAATGGTTGGCGTTCTACCGACGGGTTGATCGGCGACCGCTGGAAAGTTACAAGTTTTGGCTCGTCGATCAACGGGGCGTGAACACCACCCTGCACTGGTGGCGTTTATTGTGGGAAGTTCACACATCCATGCCAAGCGCTCCTAAGGCCCGATTTAGACTAGAAACGCTTAAGGGGTTTTGGCCAGGGAAACGTTTCGGAACGGTTAACTGTTCCCGGTCTAAAGAGGAAAAAACGGTTTGTTATGGGTTTTCGCGGACCGTTTCCGAAAACCACCTCCATCGTGGTTTTCGACCGTTTCAGAACCCTTCAGCGGGGGGCCCGAAACGCTTTTTGCTAGGTCTAAAGTCAAAGGGTTTCTTGGAACGGTAAACCAGGTCACGTGTCATATGCTAATCACATGCTAATAAGCCCGCGTGCGTCCATTTTCTGGTAGATTCGCGCCATATTCGATTGTGTCCATTTTCGCCATTTTATATCATGTATTTCTCGAATTTTCGTCATCCTTTATGTCTGGGGGGATGGCAGAAGGCCAGGGGAGGGTCTGGACCCAAGAAGAGATCCGCTGCTTGATCAGCTTGTGGGCCGATCAAACTATACAATCCCGCTTGGAGACCTCACGTAATAGGGAGGGCATACAGATGCTTGTGGACGGGCTGGCGGCTGAGGGGTATCTACGCACCCCAAAGCAGGTTCGGGCGAAGTTCAAGGCCCTGAAACACAAGTATCATAAGGCCAAAGAGGCAAACCGTAGAAGCGGCTCGGGGAGGTCATCATAGGTCACTGTGGGTCAGAAACATCCTGCGCCACGGGCGGCCCGAAACGCTTCCGCCTCTGTGTCTAAAGACGAACCGTTTTCGTGGCGAAACGTTTCGTACCGTTTCGAAACGGTATACCGTTTCTAGTCTAAATCGGGCCTAAGTGTTTTTTGATAGCCCTTTTAACTCGCCGATTGGAAGCAGTCTTGTTGGAGCGCGGAAACCTTCTCTCCGTGGCAAAAGTCCCTCGGCAGCAAATCGTCCCTCGCGGCGGCATATTACTAGCGTCGCTCAGAGAAAAAATTACGCCCACGCCCAACAAGACTGCGAAGGAGGCTAACACGCCGCCATGTCTGCCGCGACCTCTCAGGAAAGGTCATCCATTAGTGCCACACACCAGCGGGATTCCCAGGGTTCCACAGGGCGGAATTCATGCGGAAATTTTAAACACAGCAGAGCCAGGCTGGTACATCACCGGAATGCGGGGCTCGAAATTCATTTTTGGGAATAGATGCACTGGTGCCCCAACCTAAAAAATTGGGTGCACAAAAAAAAAATTTTGAGGTGCACCATATACAATAAAAGAAGTAGAATGTTAGCAAAAACTACCGCAATTATGTTTAATTTCTAAAGAAAATTAACGTTACCAAAACAATGATTTTATAATTTTTCCGACACTTGAATGTTACGAATTTGCTGTATACAACTAACTGTACATTCAACGTCTTTACATAGACTTGTTAAGTGTTGATGAGAAACTAGAAGATCTGCCCCACTGCTGAGTAACTGTCACATGCCAGAGACTCAAACAAAACTGAAGTACCCTGAACATCAGCACAGGTCAGTCACTTTCCACCCGAGATGTGCAGAAGCAGACATTTCTACACAAACACAAAGGAAGAAGAATCCTGACTCTCCAACTCGAGAGACACAAACTGCACATCAACAACTACAAAAGACCCAACAGCCAAATTCTTCAGCACAAACACAGTGATGGGTGCTACCACCAATTCTCACGTGGGGTCGTGTGGCGTAATGACAGAGCATTCGGCTCGGAACCAAGAGGTCCGGGTTCGAATGCTGCCATGTCACCAATCTTGTGCCCCTGGAAAAGGCACTTTACATGACTTTCCTGGATAGAGGCCTGGCGAACCCCATCTCGTATTAGCCACAAAAAGGCATCAGAATCTTCAGCTAATTAAAGGCGGCCGCCTCAAAATGAAGGAAGAAAAGAAAAACGAGAAGTACCATGACTGACAATGGTTGCCATGGTAATAT